AAAATATACACAACCAAAGAGCATGTTTCTTGAGTTTTTGTTTTAAGAACAATATGTTTTCAAACAAGATGGTTTTGATTTATTTTTGGAACCGGCAACCAAAAAAAACAAGTCTGAATCCAAAAAGGCTATTGCTGCTCTCTCGGCAGGCAGTCGGCAATCTTTTCATGTACCAAGTCCAAATCCGACCCCCAGATGCACACATGGCTATGGGTATGGAGCAGTAGCACAAAAGAAGCAAACACCTTGGCATCAAGGGATATCTGATATCTTGTCCTTCTCTGATCCGAGAAGGCACTCCTAGGCCAGCCAGCCATGATCATGGCGGTACTAGGGGTGTCAATTGGACTGGATTTGATTCAATCTGATCCAGTCCATTGTGAGTCCATTATAAATGGACCAGGTCCARTCCAATCCAATCCAATTAATGTTTTGGATCAATTTGGATCGGTCCAATTTAATGTCTGGACCATCCAATCTGTTCAAATTTATTTTGATTTAGATTGGTTTCAACCCAAATCCAGTCCATTGACACATATTCTTATCTTATATCAATGAACCAGATATTGGCTTAATCCAACCAATCCAATATAAATTTGTTACAGATGGACCAGGTCCAATCCAATCTAATAAATATTTTGGATCGAATTGGTCCAATCCAATATGTCTTGTTGGTCCATTCAATCCGTCCAAATTGATTTTGGACTGAACGGGGTTCAATCCAAAATCGGTCCATTGACACCCTTAGGCGGTACAAATACTCGCTCTTTCATTGTTATAGCTGGAATAAGGCATGGATGATGATGATGATAATGATGTAAACGAAAAAATTAGGATTGAAGAAGAGTGAAGCCATGGAAATTCTTAAAAATTTCCCCTCAACTTTCTGTCTCTTATTTTCTGTGAAACCAAACACAGCATAAACGCATCTGAAGCCCACCCACTTTCGTTGGAAATGTTCTCACGTACACAAAACGTCTGTTTTTTACTTTCTCCCCAAGCTTATCGGTCATTTCCTTAAACAGATCTGAATTATTCTACCTTACAATGAATTTCTCAGACGTAATTGAGTGCAGAATTCATCATTTCGATTGGTTCATGCATAAACGCAGTGTATGTCTTATTGGTTGTGATTAGCATACTCAGAGCAGCAGCAAGTGCAAAAAGGAACCTCGTTTGGGTGAACTCAATGACTTCTTGTTGATTTGTATTTTAGAAGACAAAATACTGAAATGTATCATCGTCAATCCAAATTCAATTAAATCTCACAACCTCCTTAATAACTCATTGTCTAAGGCTGTATTGGTTTGAACGAAAAAGTAGGAAAACCTGTTTTCCTTCTAAAGGAAACTACTATGATACGGGCATTGTCTAAGRCTGTATTGGTTTGAAAGAAAAAGTAGGGAAACCTGTTTTCCTTCTAAAGGAAACTACTATGATACGGGCATTCTTCTTATTTACCCACAATCTAGGGGTGCAAGTTGGGTGGGTTGGGCTGGGTTTATGGTCAACCCAGGCCCAGCCCTAAAACATGGGCTTAAGGCCCGAGCCTGAGGTCAAGCCCGATTTTTTCAATCCAAGCTCAGCCGGCACTGTAATTTGATGCACTTGGGTAGGGCTCAGGCTCAGGCCAGGCTTAGGTTGGTCAATAAATCCATTCTAAAATTATACATATAAATGTATTTATGCAAATATATATACATATATTTATGTGTATATGTTAATATGTATGTAAAATATGTATATAAATGTAATATATACAATATATATATATATATATATATATACATGTATACACATGGATGTATAAAAGTATATAGTTGGATCAGGTTCAAGCTATATAAAAACTAGACCTAAGCATGGCCCGAAAAATAAAAAATCCGACTTCTTAGGTCCAAACCCAACCCAAAAACTGAAAATCCAAACCCAGCCCATATAAAATTCTGGACTGGACCGATTCAGGCTCCGGCAGGGCCCGCCCAAGTTGCACCCTTCCACAATCTAGTAGAAAATATAAATATATATATAGCTCATTACCCATTGAGCCTTCTGCCCATCTCTTAGCATACATTTCCTCAATGGACCCATTACATGGTGGGTCCCATCACACCATGTGCGACACGCATGCTGTTGCTTGACTCTTTGACCACCTTATTTTTGATCGATCTAAAGAGATGGTAAAAACCAACCCAGGCAAGATCAACCTAAGAATTTAAATACTTCTCCGGTGAATCCAAGACGGAGGCTGGAGCCATTTTTGACCCATATTTTCAAAGATGCAGTCAGCCTTAAGACTTGAATATCACTCCAAAAGAGATTCCAAAAAGATCAATCTGTGCAGGCCCGAGATGAATTTGTGAGCTAACGATTCACTCGACCAATGGTCATAGGAATATGGTTGAACATGAAAACCAAGAATTGTTTATTTCGATTTAAACCCTGCAATTGGCAAATTCTACTGTGAGCACATTTCATAGTTGGTAAGGTGCGCAGGCACAATGGGGTGCCTAATCACTTAAGGCTCAGTTTGGAAGGAATACAAATACAAATATGTACCGTACAAAACTACAAATACATACAAAATGCATAGCTTTGCACTCTACATATTTGCATTTGTACTCCTTTCAAACTGAGCCTAAGCAATAAGAATTTCAAGTAAATTTTTCCTAGTTTTCTATTTTTACATACAACTCCTCATGCATATTAATTGAAAAATAACAATTTTCTCTACTAGTAACATCAAATTTCCTCTCAAAACATGAAAATCAAGAATAATATTCTTTCAATTATATTAATCTCAATACTTTCAAAAACGATATTAATATAAATATTTAATAAAGCAGTTACATATCAAATTAACATTTAAGATAAAGTAAAAAAAAAAGGTGGAGCTGTTGTTTATTTAATATAAGAGAGAGTAGAAAAAACCAGTTTTTGAACCGTCATTGACCTGAATTGTCAGACCGTTCGACCTGAAAACAGTCCAAGCAACCACTTCCGTTTCACCCTTAACCCGGTGGTCCTTGGCCAAAAAGAGTTGATTTGGTCAATGACCCACTGACTTGGGCAGTTGAACCGTTGACTTGTTCAACCCGTTCAACAGTTTTTGGCCATTTTTATTTTAATTATTTTTTTATTTTTTAAATTAGAGCAGGTTGTCCGTTTGAACCGTACGGTCAAACCATCAACCCATAAACCAGTGGCAAAAACGGTTCCAATTCCAACTCGGTTTTAAAACCTTGGAAAAAACAAAAAAGAAATAAACTTCTTTATATTTCTATAAATGATTACATATAATATATAATAAATATAATCACATATATTAATAAGATGCAATAATACAAATGGTATTGTAATCAAGGTTTTAAATTTCATAACGTATCGGCCGATACGTATCGTTTTGGAAGAATTCCGATACACTGAACATGTATAATTACATGGTTCCGTATTTTTTCATCCGTATCGACCTTGTATCGGTCCGTTTTGGGTGTGTATCAGCCAATACAACCCAAAATGCACCGATACGCATTATGTATCAGCCAAATTTAATTCCCCTATTCTTTTTACATTTAAATTTAATTTATCTCTTCTCTCTCATTAATATCAATTTTAATTAAGCCTTAAAGTTTGATACGTCACTAAATGCTAATATAATTTAATTAAATGCTCATTTAAGTTACCTTTGATTAGAGAGTTTAATATGTCATTAAATGTTATTTAAGTGAAATGTCACTAAATGTTATTTAAGTGAAATAACTTGTTAAAAATCATAAAACAAAGGTAACAAGTTTCAAACCCAAGTCATTTGCTTACAACAATAATTAATTAACCGTTATGCCACCTTAATTACTTATTAGAACAACATGTTTTTTTGTACTTAAAGTAATCTTTCTTGCCTTGGTGGATGTTTCCCAACAAATGCTATTAATTTGATTATTAATATTTATATAATAATAAGATGAGTACAAGTTATATTTATTTATTAAAAATTAAGGTATATATTAACTTGTATACATAATAAATATTATCTAAATCTATATATAATAAATATTAAGTAATAAATGATTTCAAATAAATATTAGCATATATATATACACATTTTAATTATTCTATTACTAATTATATCCCAACACTTTATATAAATCATTAAAGAATGATTTTTATGTTTAAATAAATTAGTTATATTCACATAAAACTCATTTTTATTATTGTTCATATTTTTAAGATTTTTTTTTTTATTTTCTAATATATCCATACGTATCTTAATTTTTCGTCCATATCTATATGTTTCCAAAGCATATCTCAATATATCTCTTAAAATTACCTTTTCCAATACACCTTACATTTTCGATACTTTGAACCTCGATTATAATAAGGTATAAGGTGTCCTCCTTCTCATTTGAGCGGCCTCGTGGGCGCCTGCTGCCCGGTCACTTGGACAGGCGCCTAATTGCTATAAACAAGACATTTAGGCAAAACGCCCAACAAAGGGAACAGCCGAGATGTTAGATTTAACTTTGAAACGTTTGGTGTTGAAAATTTCTAAAAATGTTGATAAAGAGATATCTAAGCCCTCAAGATATGGCTTGGTAACTATTCATTGGTTCCACAACCCGCTGAACAGCCATCGCGTTCAGTTGCTCTTTTTTCATCAGCAAAATTTGGTCTATTTCTGTCATCCTTGCGCAAGGGCCATGCAGTTGCGGAGCCAGGAATTTTCTCTTGAGATAAGGACGAGAAAGAGTAGTGCTTGGGGAAAATAACATGAAAGGGTTTAGATTTATTACAGATTTATATATATATATATATATATATATTGGAGTTGGAGGAGCCTTGGTCCTTTACAAATTACAATTTTAGTTCAAGTTTGGGTGGGGGGGGGGGGGGGCAAAGGCCCCACCAATATACTTGGCTCCGTCCCTGTCTGTGTGGTTCCACTTTTATCGGATGTCTCCAAAGAGACTTGTGAACAAGCTTTAAGAGATATACCACATTTGTATATCAAAACGGGAAAATATGCATAGCAACTCAAAACTTCGAAGAGAACGAGCTACATCCCACGGTTAGTTCCAACATATAGTACCAGCAATATACGAAAGTAACAGCAAAAACAGAAACAAAAAAAATAATAATAAACAGTGTTACACTCGCTAACTTGACTGTTGAGTTTCAATTCCATACACAATAGTAACTGGGCTCGTTTATCTTCTCTTCACATCTCTCATAAGAAAGTAACCTCCGAGAAAAAAGCTACTGATCCTTAAGCTTCTTCTCGGCTTCTTCCAATTTCTGAATCTCCTTGTAATATTTACATAAGCGGAAGACAAACCTAAACCACAACCAAAGAGATTCTTAAAAACTTCAGTATCAGATGAGTGCAAATTCCTAATAACTTAGAAGTAAGATTGTTCATTGTGTACCAATAAAGAAGGCATGCAGCAGCACACAGAACAACATTTCTTTGAGCTTTATATATCTGCACAGCACGTCAACAGTCAGATCATTGCAACTCAGAATTTATATCAAAGCAAAACCAGAAACTATAATTAATTGGTTGATCGTTTAAGCAACTATTACAGTAGTTGTTTTACAGTAAGATCCCTGCAGCAGAAAAAGTAAATGAAATTGAACTTTATCATGTACTATAACTGCAGCATGAAAGGTACCAACAACATAATAAGATAAAGGATGGTAATTGCTAACATGCGAAGCAAGGCAGCAAAGATGCAGCAGAACCTTTCAAATTCAAACCCTGCTAAAAGACAAAACATGCAAAAGGTGACCTACTTCCCAATAAACAAATTTCTGAATTTTTATCGTAATTACAAAATAAAGAAAATAATATAATAAACTACACTGTCATGCAAGAAATGTTAATCTCCAGACTAGCCCCATCCCACAAGTAGCGAATTGGGATCTCCTCCCAATAAACAAATTTCTGAAACAGTTTTTTTTTGTTGGGAGATCCCGACTCATACGTAGCATCCAGGAATCCCACCTCTTTTTTCAACAGACTCCAAAGCTCTTAGATTTACCTTACAGGAATTGTTTTTTGGAAGGTTCCACACTCACATGCCTGTTAGGCTGTGTTTGGTTTGAAAGAAAAGGTAGGGAAACTTAGCCAAGATTTGTACAGGTGTCCCACTATCCCTACCTTTCTTTCAAACCAAACACATCCTTAACTTACAGAAGGACAAGGCATGACACTTCACAACCCCTGTATTTGCAGCAGACCCTCTTTATGTTTGTCCACTTTGTGACTTGAGGTATTAGTGATGGACAAGGCTTTTGATGCTAGCATTGTTCATCATTTTGTAACAAGTGCCATAGGAGAATCATCTAGCTCCTTCTACAAACAAAACCCCATCTGACTTAAGTGGCAGCCACTCCATCCTGGAAGGGTGGAGATGAAAGGTAGGTGGAAGATTAGGAAAGTAGCACAAATCCAAGTTTTCCTGCCTGTAGAGATTTCGTAGTGGTTTCAAAAGGATCCTCTTCTTTGAATCTGCTGCAGGATCTTTGCGATTCAGCAACTTCTCTTGCAATGAAACTCAGGTTGCAGATATGTAGATCAGAAACAAATAGCAAAGAAGAAACAAGAGAAGAGGTGGATGGATGTAAGACAATAACCCTAGGCAATCAGACCTAATGATGAGGGCATTCATATCCTAAACTTGGTAATCACAACAAATTCTGCAGAGAAGCTTTATTTGTTCATTATCCAAAGAAGCCTTTTGGCTAGGCAAAGACCTACAAAACGACATAGCCTCCGATAAAGTTGTCAATCTCGAACTATCAGAAACTGACTGAGCCACCAAGAAAGAGCCATCAAAATCTGATCCAAAATACTAGCTAGCTTGAACATTGACCAAAAAACTTCTATCTGCCCAAACTAAAGCAAAATGTATGTGAGGAGCACTATTCACAGCAACCGGGACTCTAGCAACACCTAGCACCTAAGTTTTCATGTAACACTATGCTTTGAGATTGTATCAATCAGCATAAGCAGTTCAAGAGAGCACATCTAAGTTCCCTCATCATATTGTTGACCCTAAATCCTAAAGAGTTTCTCCTTCAAACATGGCATTCTATTTTTTCAAGTAACAGTATCCAAGAAGTGGGTACTTTCCACTCTCAAATAGAAGCATTCTTCTTCAAACATGTGTCTACCCACTCTTAAAAAAAGTCATAGTAGTTAACTCCACTCTCAGGAAAAGGTGTTGACTTTAGACACAGTTGCCTACAGAAAAAAGTGTCCAACTCCAAGCTAACTTTAAAGCATGGCTACCTATAAAAAAAGCATCCACTCCAAAGGATGTGGGGCCCAAATTAATCTTTGTAATTCAATTTCTTGATTCAAATAAAAGAATCGCTATGCTGTAGAGACTTTTAAATTACGAACTAAATCTGATTTAATTAATTAAATTAAATAAAAAAATCAAATTACATATAATTATTGGATAAATAGTGAATCCCAAATAAAGTGACATTATTACAAAAACAAAATGATATAAAGGTGTAGTTGCCACATACTTAGTACCAAGGTTCAAAATATCGATACAGGCCAATACGCCAGTAGGGGCATATCGACCTGTATCAAAGCTTGCCCATCCTTTTTTTCTTTGAAACTGATTCAGAAAGGTTGGTCTAAGGCTGGTCTACCCCCTGAACCAGGTCACACCCCAATACGACCCCTGTAGGGGCGTATTGTTAAGCCCTCGATATGATATGATACACAAAATTTTGAACCTTGCTTAGTACAGGAGGTCATTCTCTAGTGACATGATAATAAGTGGAGATGATGGGAGCTGGTTTGTAGACCAAAGGACAAAGGGGGGCTCTGGATAGGAAACTTAGTCCAGAAAAATTCATCCCTCCTAAGAAAGAGACTTTAGAGGTTCCCCCTAGAATGTGAAAGGCTCTGGCACAAAGTGATTGTAAATATACATGGGTGTTCAGACAATGGCTGGGATTCAAAAGTATCCCCTAATGCTTCATCATCATCTCCCTGGAAAGCAATTCAAGAAGTGATTCCTTCCTTCCTCAACCATATACGTTTTGATGTGGGAAATGGGAACAAGGTCTTATTTTGGGAAGACCTCTGGTTGGGATAACAACCTCTAAAGATCCAATTCCCCTTACTTTTTTACTTTGTCAAACTATAAATTTGAACCCATTTCAAAATTTGTGACTTTTAATACCCCAAGGCTGAACTAGGATTTTGGGTTTAGAAGGGGTCTTAGGGACTTGGAATGTGAGTCTCTGATAACCCTTTTGGCCAAGCTAGACTTTGTTTTCCTAAACCAAAGTACGGAGGATACATGGGTGTAAGCAATTTCTACTGATGGCATCTTCACTTGTGCTTCTTTTCTCAATAACCTAATTCAGCCTACCACCTTGGGTTTGAACCTCCCGGTAAAAGAGATTTGGAGCAAGCCAATTCCACCAAAAATTCAGGCCCTTTGCTAGGAGATCTTTCGTGGGAAGACAAATAGTGGAGCAAGACAAATACCTGTGACTTGCTGCAAAAAAGATGGCCAAATAAATGCCTTTCTCCTCATGTTTGTTGCCTTTGCAAACTAGTGGAGAAAGTATCTCCCATTTGTTTATTCACTGTACATTTGCACTTTGCGTTTGGGAGCATTTTTGTTCTCTTTTTGGTTGCAGG